GCTATGGGATGGTCTCAATTAATCAGATAACTCTTGTGGTCGTAGTGTAGTATGACCATTACTTTATTATCGTTTCCTTTCCGACCCTGTTCCGATGAATGACACATTTGCGGCTGCAGTATTGAAGAATAATAAAAATAAATAATATAGTAGAAATATAATAAAAAATAATGGAATAAAGAACTGAGATTGAATATGACGAGTTCTTCTAATATACTATTCAATAATATACTCCACTAGATTCTCAAATGGTTACATCAATTCTAGAGTAAATGTTCGCTGCCCTTTCCCTACGATTCTTTTGCAGGACGCGTTGCCTTCCTATGCCTTCGTACTAATCACTACGAACCAAATCAACAACCACTTTCCATTTAAATTTTAATTCCAGACAGTGTAAGATATTATTTGCATTAGGCTAACTACAACACTTGTGAAATTAATGATGACAGCAAATAAGTGGCAGCAGCACCGTTGTGTCCGTTGATGAACCTTTTGATTACGACCCCCTCCCAACTCTCATCGGAGCAAATACGACCCCCTGTCGAGGATTTCCTCAACCATTATTCACCCTGTTGTGTCCGTTTGTGTGTGTGTTTGACCGGAAATTCGTAGCTCGCGTCACAGCAATGATAGCGCAGTGGTTCTTACATATGTTATAGGGGGTGGGATGGGGACACAAGTGGTACGTGATAGGAACTGATAACGACTGATAATAGCTGATAAGAGGGGCTAGAAAGCGAGCATCGCCAATTTTGTTCTGTCGTTGGTGTTGACACTAAGCGTCCATACTTATAGGTGCTATGTGGGGTGGAACGTGTGCATTGTTTGGGTGAAAGGGGATGATAAGGAGTGATATGTTATATGGCGTGGTTCCTATATGTCGCTGATGCGTGACTGAAATTTATACCAACAGATGGAGGCTGACAAGGAGCCTTAGAACTCGAAAGTCACTAATTCCATCACGCAGCCCCCGTTGACACTAGAGAGTTGTTAGTTACAAGTGTTATATACGATGGAAAGGAATCATTTTCTGTGGGTGAGGTAGGATATTCACAAAGTATAAGCTGCCAGGGCGCCTTGGAACGAGGAAGTCGTCATCGCGTAGCGCACCTAGCGTTGACTCTAGAGTGTCCCTACTTACAAGTGTTTTATGGATGGGACGGGGACATTGTATCGATACAACTAGATTAGTTTGAGCGGGTTCTTGACGATTGATAGATTTCATGCCTAATCTAATACTAAGAGGGCCAAAACTCATTAGACTGTAGGATTTCTAAATGTGTATAAACAATGTGAGACTTCAAAATTTATTGCAAAAGACTCAAAACTTTCTACAAAAGAAATTGCAAAAATGTGTTTGCAAAAGTTTTGCAAAAGTTTAGGCCTTTTTGGCGAGCTTTCGGCGCTTAGCGCCTTTGTCGAGCCTGAAATGAAAATTAGAAGCTTTCTTAAAGTCTGTTAATATATTAAAATATATTAACTGACCCACCTGCTGTCCACTCTCAAAAGTGTAACACTTACCACCCTTGTCGGTCTGTGAAGCAGGAACTGGGACTTCGGGACAGAACAATTCTAAGGTGTAGATTTCTGTACAATGTGAATGAGATATGCGTAATATGCTCAGTTATTGTAAGCCCGCGCCAATATCACGTAAAAACACCCTCGTGCAATTAATTTTGTACACCTTAGAAATCACCGTAAATTTGCCTATAGAGGTAATTCGATGCCCTGATTACGAAAATGACTTTCATTTTTGGCGCCAGTTGGCGCCACCTTGTCACGACACCTGTTTTCACCAAATTTGGTGTAAACTTCCGTATAGGGGTTATTTGGTGTCCTGATTACGAATATGACATTCATTCTCGGCGCTGGCGCTATTTGGCGCCTATTTTCTGCTCGTCTGCGCTCTCCAACCGAGAAATATGCGTTGAACAACGTTAATGCCAAAAACGAATGTCATATTCGTAATCAGGGCACCAAATAACCCCTATACAGAAGTTTACACCGATTTTGGTGAAAACAAGGGTCGTGACAAGGTGACGCCAACTGGCGCCAGATGGCGCCACCGCTAAAACGAATGTCGTTTTCGTAATCAGCATATCGAATTACCCCTATGGGCAAGTTACGGTTGTCTCTAGATGTACGCAAGTGCACTGCACCAGCGGAGGTGTTTTTACATGATACGCGCGGGCTTATCTACCGGAAATTAGGGTATTCCGAGGCTGACAACAAAACTCTATTCACCACTGGATTGTCAGAATTCAAAAAAATGCTGGGTGAAGCTGTGAGAAATATAGCAGCTCAGCTTAGCACGCTATCACGTGCATCCATGATCGACTTCAATGAATCTGAAGATCCTGCCAAACCTTAGGTTATCCGCTAACGCATCTAGTAGTGAGGTGCTTTGTAATGTAAATCAGGTCCTCCTGGTCCAGTTTCGCTGAGGTTTTCCTTGTGATGCGCGCGATGGTGAGCGCAAAACAGGCTTTTTCATTACAGTAAATGTGAAGTACTCCAGAAATCACAAACCAACCTGGTACAGTATTTATGAAGTACCGTACCTTTCAGACTCTTAGCTTAGCTCGCAAGTACAACATCATTATAAAATTTCAGGCTGGAACTCAAAATACAGCTCTTTATCCCTGCAAAAGCGCACTATGAATTTCGTGAAATTTGTGTTTCAGCGCCTCTTATCTGCTCTTATCAGTCGTTATCACTTTGTGACCCCCACCAAATATGTTCCCGTCCCACCCCTATATCATATCTTAAAGCCCTCCCGAAGACTGCTGCAACCCGTGCTATGAATTTCGTTGTGTAGGCATGTATTGTCGAGTAAGTCCAAGGCTCTTAAGAGTGTCTTCTCAGGTATCCAATGTTCCTATTATGCTTTTACCAATGCATTGCCTTCGCAGCCATTCAATACAGAGCATTCCATAGGAAGTGAGTTGAGGGAGCTGTGTGCCACTCCTCTAATATGGCGAATTCTACATTATTCTGTTGGCATCAATTTCTGGACAATCTATGCATTGTGGGTGGGTGCCCGATCTTGATCAGTGACCCTTGGCCCGTGATTCCTGCTCTTACGATTTCTGCGAAACCCATCAGGATGGCAGGTTGGCTTTTCACTAGCATTAGTTCCGGTCGCCCTTCCTATTCAAGACTGGCCGATCAGCAGGATACCATCACGTCAAGGGAAACGATTGGTAAATGGCGCTTATTACGGGATCGAGACGATGTCTTTTAGCATATTTGCTTCCTTTTCAATTTCCAAGCACCGATTAGAAGTTAGGCATTTTCACGCGTGGGAGCCTCTTTATCTAGTCATGTGCAAACAATGTTCTGCAAGGAAGTGCGCTCTACAGCTGTTTCAGCGACAAAACGACGGAAGCTAGCAGCTAGCTTCCAGCGCTTCTTCGCACGTATCTTCGAGATATTACTCGTGAAGTCGCAGAAACAATCCTTCCAGGTTCACGCCTATTAATACTGGTGACCACCTTATACTTTGTAATGGTAGTCTACGGAGCTTAAAACAGCTGAATCGCCCTGCAATGCAACACACTCAAACAGGTCGTCGGAGCGAAGTAGTGGTTATTTCTCGAAGATTTAAAAGATGGTTCATTCCGGAGTTGACACTTTTCATGTGACGAAATCAAAGAAGAGACACTGCCTTATCGAAATAAACCCACAGAATGTCCATCAAAAACATCTTGAGCTTAAATCTAAAATATTAAATTTAGGGATTGACAGCGGCAACCTCGTGTTGCCGTAGCTTTTGCTCACACTGTACATAGGCTTCCTTGTCATTGTTCCAGACATTCTGAAGTGGTTTCCTAAAACCATCGACGTTTGTGCGAAATCAGGAGCAGGTACTCTCCTCTACCACACTTTGCACAGAGTAATGCAGTAGATACGAGCTCGAAGCGATTTCGTCTTATGCAGGGTTATGCAGAAACTTTCGATATTGCTATGGATTATTCCGGAACTCCTCTAATCTTGAAAAATCGAGGAGAGTCTTGCTGTTCTGTTTCTGTTTTTTTTTCAAGCAGCGGGTGGAAGAGGTTCTGATTTTCGATCGTGATTCGTCGATTTTGGTCGCCGGGAAAGTCTTCGTCGAACCTGAGCCGATTAGGTTGACACCTTGAACTCCGGCTCGCAAAACTTTGTTCTTTCTATCCATTAGAGACCAACTCGACGTACCTTTTCTCAGCAAAAAAATGGGCAATATAACTGGGACAACATTTCTCAGTGAAAAAGTTGGGCATAACAGAACTGAGACAACATCGCTGCCAACGCTGCTCTCCTTTTGCTTTGGCCACGATTATTGAGACCTGGACCTTCCCACGCCAATGTACCACTGTTATGCAATGTTCTGTAGCGATGACCTGTCAACAACTGTGCGAGACTACTAAAACAGGGCGAGAACAGAACGACGGATCGAATGCGTTAGAGTCACACACACCTTCGCTCGCACTTGCTCAATATTGTTCTTGTCATGAGAGTAACTTCTTTCCTCCCTGTCCAGACATCTTGCCTAGTAGCTGGCTCGAAGAGCTCGGTAATGGTCATTTTTACAGGCTTTCTGGAGATCCTGTGCCGCTTTTCCATGTACCACCAGATCGCTAGACGAAACAAACAGGTGATCATTTCTAGAAGAGTGATTATTTCCTATCCAAAGCAAAGATTACAGATTTCACTATTAGAACTAAATGACGTTGAGTTAACAAAAGCAATACGGAGAACCTGCAGTTACAAATCCGTCGATTTGGATTAAAAAATTGTACGCGGCTCGCTGGTCACCCGTAATTTGTGCTCACCCTTCATCCCTAATACAGTGTAAACGTTCGCGTTCTATGGTATGGAATCTCGTTCGGAATGCGTATGATGTGTGATCAAACGCGATACCATCTTGTGAAGGAGGGTTTGAATGCGACCATTTTTGATGTTCCTGGAGCGGAGTTGGGATGTCAATCTCGCATGTTTATAAGGGTTCTACGGGAACACAGGTGCGCGTGGCTGATGTAAAGTGATAGGGCGTTGAATAAAGGTCTGATCTTGCCGTTTGGAATTGCACAATGTCTTCAATTTCGTCACGCTTCTCGCAATCGCTATGTGGCGCTATCATTGACAAGTAACTAAGTTGTCAAAAGGCTGATCATGGGCGCCAGAAAATGGGTCCTCTACAGCAACGCAACCATTTTGGCCGAACTAACTCCTTATCAAGGAACATGGTCCATTTAATAATCCCACATAGGAAGACAGATTTTGAAAACGCCAAACACTTATTTCTATCACTTACAATATATAAACCAGAACTATTGGTGTCGCTGGGTTCTTCGGCCTGTGTGTCGCTTATGTCCGTGCGGACAACCGTCACTGAAGAGAGGGACAGCTGACGAAGGGCACACTCTTCTAGATGGTGTTCTCGATGAGGGTTTCGCAGACTATAACGCTAAAATGGCTATATAAACACCGATAGAGGACACTCAGTCTCTCATTCTACATGGTGCTGCCAGCAGCCGGTATGGAGCGGAGAGGAGAAAGGGAGGGAGAACATGGCGCTGTCATGCGCCGTAGAGGAGAGGTCTGAGGAGGGGAGAGGGGAGGTGGGGGAGGAGAAACTGAGAGAGAGAACGACCGTTTTAAGAGTAAGGTCTATATTCATGTTGACGTATTATTCTAACCTGATGTGATTGTGATAACACCCACAATGGCTACAAAAACACCGAACGAGCACACTCAGCCTCATTCTACATGGTGCTGCCGGGGCAGCCGGAGTCGGCGGGACGGTAGAGGGAGGGGGAAAGCAGAAGGGAGGGGGTTAATGGATACGTCATGCTGCTATTCCCGCTGTTCCTCCCTGAACTGTGATGCGCGCGATAGCGGGCGGAGCGAACCTGGTTTATGAACAATAGCGCATAATATTATACGTTCCCGTTCAATACTTATCACGAGGAAACCAAATCAACCCGTAACCTGTATGAATTCGAGACCGTGCTGGATGTACACAGAGATCTAGTGTGGGGAAAACCAAATTCAAGAGGACGAAGACATTATGTTGCCAAAAACGCATAGTATTTGTGTAACAAACACACTTTGGGAAAGTATTTGCCGCTTATCTCACGAAGCAAAAACAGGTTAGGATTGAGATCTGCCACCTAATCGTTTATGGAGCCTTCAGATGAAGGAGGATGGCGCGTGCGTGGCACGCAACTAAGGCGTGTCAAATGTTTCCAGGCCTTCTGCTCTGCCTTCTTCAAGGATCAAAGTTTTGGGGCTTTATTTGCGCTTGCCTCCAGTGCTCACCGTGCAAGAAAGCTAGGAATGTAGATAACGGTTTCTAGGTAACAAATCTTCGAAAGTAATGAGTTTGAAGTTTTGCTTTATGATTGAGAGCTCTGTTCTGTAAAAGGTCTCAGGTAGGGTAAAGGAGTTGTTTCTCATCCAACGGAGCTGGAGTTTTTAGAAATCCACCTGGATTTTAACGCTAATTTTTTTTCATTTTGGGGGTGAGAAAGTGGAACAAAGAACTGCGATTTTCTGCATCTGATAATTGCCTGGTAGTAACTGTAACCTCCAAATCGTCGTGTTTTCAATCAGTGATGGCTACGAACTTATTGAGGCCTTTGAACTTTGTAATCACTTTGAACTGCCGCTACATGAGTATAGCCTGCTAGAACCTCTAGTGAGTTCAGCATGAAGATCGGCCTACCTTGGTGTTATTATTTCGAAGAAAAAGACAGTGTATCTTATAACACAGTCCACAGAAAGAGCAATGGAAATGGAGCGTCTCGGTAGAAAGTGTATATGATCGTATAGATGTCTTAACGCGCCGCCTCAGCTGATCAAAGCTTCAAATGCGCACGATATCGTGCGCAGCTAAAGTGGTAGAAAATTGATGACTACACATATATTGCGTGTCGCTAGAGGGAAAAAAGAGGAGTGTCGTATTGAGCATTGTTTGTTTCACAGATACGATCACATGGCTTCACTTTGCGAAATAATGCCTACCGGAACTCCTTCCATGGTCCTCAACACACAAATCGCTCTAATTGGAGCTAACAAAAATTACGATAAGGTGACAATGAAGGTACGGAACATGATCTCTTTTTCACCATACTTTTCTTTTGTTCAAAGAGTCGGAGGCAAATGTTATTGTGTACATGGTTGCATCTTACCTCGGTGTTTTGTGTAGCTCGAAAACAGGTCTACAAATCAGCAGG